TTAAAAAAAAAAAATGGAATTCAATGGGTATTCTAAAATCTTCTAAAATTAAATAAAAACTTTATATTAAATATTTAAAATCACAAACAATTGAGTGAGATCCATTTATAAAAATTAGAGTATAAATTAGAATATAAAAGTAAGATTATTTGAACTCCTAATGAAAAGTTCAAAAAATTCACTGATTTACTTGAAAATACAAATTAAACTCAAAATGCACTTGGCAACTAATAAACGAAACTACTGGTAACACTAAAACAATGTCGCCCTCAGTTATTAAAGTAGATGATAATCCTTTTCTTGATCAAACAACAATCGCTTCTGAGTTTAATAAATATTTTGTATCTGTAGGACCAAACCTAGTCAAAACATTCCGAACCCAAAAAGTTTAATAAAAGGAAACATATTATTCTCTAAACTCGTATCTAATTTTTTTTTTGATTTGTCTTTTGAAGAGTTTGAAAGTGCTTTTAAATTTTTAAGTCAAATAATGCAGTTGGTCCTAATAATGTCAATAAGAATATTATTATAAGTTGTTTTGACGTTTTAAAAGACATATTTTTCAAATTTATAAATGCTTTTTTAATCAGGGAGTTTTTCCTGATGATTTAAAAATAACAAAAATTATTCCTATTATAAATTATTTAAAGAAGGAAAAAAAACTAATCTAAAACTCTATCGTCCAATTTCCATGCTCTCTGTTTTTTCTAAAATTTTAGAAAGAATTATTAAATAAGGTGAAAAATCACATTATTTAATAATTCTTACATTTTTTCAATAGTAAAATATTGTATAAAGCAAGAAATGTTTTAAATAAACGTATTTTGATACAATTATATCATTCATTTATTCATTGTCACATAAACTGTGCAAACACTGTTTGTGGTAGTAAAAATAAAAGTAAACTCAAACTTTTTTGTTGTCAGTAGAAGAATGTAGCACAGTAGAAGAATGTAGCACGTCTTATATATTTTTAAGACAGTTATGCTCATGCCAAGCCTCTATTGAAATGAAAGTTTTTAATATATATGAGCCTAATATTTTTAATATTCTTCGTTTTATGTTTAAATGTAAAACTAATTCACCCCCAATTTCTTACCATAACTTGTATTCATCAAAAGATTAAAAAAAAATATATTTTATGCGATGAAAATTTTATAAAGCAGCCTATTTTTCAAACAAATTTTTTTAAATTTTGTTTTACTGAGAATTTTATTATCAAAGAAATTTTTCTTTTTTTACTTTTCTTTTAAGCGAAAGCTTAAAAACTCATCTTTTCAATTGAAGATTCAATAACATAATTCTGATATTTTTTAGTGATCTTTTATTGTTTTTTTATTTCCTTTTTATACATCTCTTTTATTTAAACATGAATTTATAAAAATTTATTACAACTGTAATCTACATTATATATAGATTACAGTTGTTTAAATAGGATAAAATAAAATATTCCGTTATAATATAACGGATTATTTTACTTTATTTATTTTATTTTTTTTATTCTCGTTTTTTATTTTTTTGTTTATCTTCAAGTATATATACTCTTAAATCAAGTTTCTTACTTTGTTAACCTAATATTTATCGTGTAAATATCTTATAAATTTTAAAAAGTAATAATTTCTTATCGGTACTTGATAACAAGACCCTATGGTCTTCACTAGTCCCCGCGTTCTTTTATTTTTTAATAACGATCTCTCTCTCTCTCTCTCTCTCTCTCTCTCTCTCTCTCTATATATATATATATATATATATATATATATATATATATATATATATATATATATATATATATATATATATATATATATATATATATATATATATATATATATTTATTATATATATTTCAATAACACTAATAATAACACAATAATCTATTACACAATCAATTTGGTTTTAAAAAATTAACTCAATTAAACATGCAATCATTCATTTTCTACGCAAAACATCCAATTCTTTTAAAAATTCTCTATAAACATAAGCAGTTTTACAATGGTTTCCAAGCTATCAAATTGAAAATAATTTGTCTATTATAATGATAGTCAGAAGTTAGTTAGAAATATCTTGTTGTGTTCCGCAAGGTTCTATTCTAAAGCCACTTTTGTTCTTGATTTACGTAAACGACTTTTATAAAGCCTCAAATTTTTACGTATCATGTTTGAAGATGATACCAATTTGTTTCTCTTTTGTAATGATATTTATTCGGCTATGAATGATGATCTGCAAAAAGCAGGTTGGTTCAAATGTAATAAATTAACTCTAAACATAAACGAAACAAAATGAATTCTTTTTCATCCTCTCTCCAAAAAATGTTTCTTACTTACAAATATGCTGCAAATTATTATTGACCAAGTTGAAGTAAAAAGAGATTTAGTAATAAAATTTTTAGGTGTTTTTTTTTTTTGATGAGAACATCACATGGAAACAACATATTCATTATATAGACACTAAAGTGTCTAAAATTATTGGAATCTTGTACATGCCCAGAGTTTATTGCTTACAGTTATACAAACTTAACTATGCAATTATTGCATGGGGTAGTACAGGGGTAGTAGGTTAAAACGTTAGATAACACGCTATGCGTTCAATTAATTTAACCGCCGTCAGAAACAAGCTATGCGTTTAATCAATTTTTGAAAATCAATTCTTACAAACTAGAATATTTTTATGGAAACGAGAATACTCAATGTATACGAATTAAATGTATTTTATGTTTTATGCTTCATTTATTTGTTAAAAAAAATTTATGGTTTTTGTTTTTTTAATTTTTTTTTAAACCATTAAACAAATACACCATTGGAAATTATAATTTTGTATATGAACCTTTTTGTAAATCAAGATTAAATCAATTTTGTTATTTATATCGTGCACCATATCTCTGGAATAGAATTAGAATAGGAATAAGATATCAAATTTTGATTTATCGATTACTTTTCCAGTTTTCAAAAATAAATGAAAAAACTTCATTCTCTCAGTTGAAAATATTTTTGAATACTTTTGATATCGTAGTTATACAATGTATAATTAATTTTTTTGATACAATGTGTTTATTTATAATATAAGTATTATTTCTTTCTGGTATTGCAATACATGTTGTTTTCGAAAAAAAAGGTTTTGGCGATAAGATCATTAGGAATTTCTATCAGATACCTTTTGTTTGTATTTTAGTTTATTTTTATTATCTAGACTTTTAATTTATTAGTCTAAGGATTTTACATGTTGTAAAGGATTTTATTATGGTATACGAACACAAAAAAATGTATGTATATAACTCAAAACAATAATTATTCTTATCATTTTGAAAAAAATAAAATAAAATACCTCATACTCAAATCAAACTGTTTTATTGATATGTATTAAACATTTATGCGTATCACTCACCATTATTATACAATGATAACCGTATAAACCCTTAAATTAAGGTACTCGACGATATGACTCTTTAGTCATCTGCAAGTTAGCTTTTTCTACAAACTTCTACAGGTTCTACTTCTTCACTACAACAACTTGCATAAGCAATGCCTAACAATATTATTAAATTTGCTATTATTATATCTTTTTATATAGATTATATATTATTATTATAATATTTAGGCTATTTATTTTCATAGCCATTTTAATAGCTAGCAAAATATTTTATAAACTAAGATTTTTTAAAAACGCCATTATTAGCCTTTTTTATGATTTGTAAATATGTGTGATACAGTAGCATTTAAGTGTTTATTTTTTGTGGAATTTTTCACATATATATGAACTAGTGTTTTGTAAACATTGATTTATTGAGATATATACTAAGGCTAGTTGTAAAAAAAAAAAAAGTTCTTTATATGGCAAGCAATCTACTCTTGTGTTTTTAAAAGTACATCATAAAACTTAACTCTTATAAAACCTTAAACGCTGATTTGAATGTAGAAAAAATACCTAAAGAAACAGCTTTTGCCATTTATTAAAAGGTATGATATGTCTAAAATATTTGGCCTGATTCGGCTACAATCCACTAGAAGTCTTAAAATAAAAGTCTAAAAATTTTGTATCTAAGTAAGCAAATCATGAGCATGAACGAAAGTTATATATGAAAGTTATTGATCAATTATAAAAGAAATCTTGCTGAAAAGTAAGAAATAAACTTCAGGTAAAAAAGTTTTTTAGAAAAAGTAGCATTAAAACAAGGTAACTTAAAGCAAGATTAGCAGCAAAAAAAAAAATATTTGGTTTCTATTTAAGCGTTCAATAAATAAAATAAAAGTTTGTTTAATAAAAAAATAATTCAATCAGAATTGTGTCAAAAAAACCTTATCTTGTATATCAAATAAACAAGCATCTTCTAGAGGAACTTGGGATAGTGAGACATTGGCTGAACTAAAGCAAAATAACTTTTTATTTGAGCTTTTATTTATACTTCATTCATTGAAACTTTTTAAAAACATTTTTTTTATCAATTGTATAAAATTGTATAAAGAAAAACTTAAATAAAAAAAATTGATGTGGAAACTTCAACAACAAAAAAGTAAATGGATTCAATGTAGAATTTGCAAAGCATTTTTATACAAATAATAATATTTCAACTGTTCACTGATTGATCAGTTTCCTTTTATAATTTTACTGCCTGGGGTGTTTTATGAGTATTTTAAACACTTGATCGTTTCTTATAACTTTAAACTATCACACACACGCGCGCACACACAGACGCATTGACACACACACGTACAAAAGTTTTGTACATAAGTTTTCTGCTTTTCAAATTTTTTCTCAAATCTTTTCAAACTCTAGAAATGTTTACTTTTCTAAACAATTTTGAGATAATTTGCGAAACGAAACTGAGACTATAAACCCGTGTATTCTTTTCGTAAAAAAAAAAAAAAAAATCCGGCCTTTACTAAGTATGTGTTTTAAATTTATAACTAAATTAAATTTATATTATTAATATATATAATCTGTTCCGGTTAGAGCAAATAATAGATTTTAAAAAATAACAAAGCAAAAAAAAAAAAAAAGGAAAATGAGATAAAAATATAATAATATATTTTACAATTATAAAAACTTGTTTTCTAAACTAAGTGTTTCCAAAATGTGTATGTTCTGCATACTAACAAATGATACATATAATAAAGGTATGAAAGATATGTACGATTCATGTTTTATAGATAAAATGCCCTATAAAAGCATTTCGAGCTACATTATAACAGACTAAATATAAAATGTAAAAAAAAAAAATTTACAGTATAGTAAATAAAGAAGAAACTGTGGCATTGTTGATTGAGTTTACGGAACTTTCAGAGCTTGAAGCTTTTTCAAGCAAAGCTTTAAAGTTATTCTCAGTGTCAGGTGTTATTAGATTGTTTATCTTTTTAATTTTTTGAGTTTTTTTAATGCATTCCCGCAATGGATGCTGTTTGAAATATTTTGTCAGAATGTTTTTAATGCTTTTCATGACTGCGTCTTCTGAAGGAGCTGACTCCGTCATTTGAAACACATCAAGTACTGGAATCCCAGCATTGCACATAACAGACGTGGCATAAGCGTTAAATAACTTTATGCGCTAAAAAAAAAAAAAAAACTTTGATAAAAAAATTGCTTTCAGAAAAAAAGGTGTTTTATTTGAGTTTTTTTTGGGCAAAATTTAAAAAAATCACACCTGATGGTTTTTAAAATGATCCTCTGGCGCCAAAGAATCTCTCCATTTTGAAGCCATTGTTCTCCATATTGCTTTACCTTTATATTTAGCTTTAAGAATTTTAACGGTTCGGTCAATGAATGAGCGGTACTGTTTAAATCCGATATTCTGAGCAAAAGGGTTACCGTAATTAATAAGTAAACCACTTTCTTCATTCATAAAATCTTTTTTAAGAAGTTCTTTTAATGCTTGTAGATATGTTTTAATAGATATCTGTTTCGTTTCCTTTAATGTAGAACTTTCAGGCTGTTCTCCTTTCTCATTACTGTTTAAAATAAAATAAAAATCATATATAAGTTTATTTATGTGTTTTTACTATGGTGTATATGATTGCCAACTTGCATGTTCTCCCTATTTAGTCAGCTAGTGTATGTACTGAAGCTTGCGGCAGCCTACTCTTTTAATTTGAAATTAGACAAACTTTCTGCATGAGCACATATATATATATGAATAATAAAATAATTAGAAATTTTAACAAACCTTCAAATAAAAAATCTTTATAATAAAAAATTCCAATATCAATATATTATAATTTTTTTTTTTTGTTAAAATAAATACAAGTGAAATTTATAGATATAATTGAACAATCTTAAATTTTGTTAATTTTAAGTAAGTTAGTTTGGTGACTACTTGATATAAATAAAAACAAACAAAACAACAAAAGTTTGGTTTTTGGTTTGATGAGAAAGCGGGAAAACTAATTCACTTAACGAAAATGCTATCAAACCTTTGCAAAGACTTTTTCTTTCTAAAGTTTAAAGTCGCAATGATTTGAAAAGTAATTATAACTTTTAATGTTCTTTAATATAGTAATATTTTGTAATTATTTTGCTTTTACTTAATGAAAAAATACTATTTGGTCATTTAGTAAAGCAAAATTACTGACTTGAATCTATAAAATTTATATAATATATTTTTTATTCTTGTGAACTATATAATTAAGGAGTGACATACATTTTTTGATAAAGCAATAGATTAAAAACACCGATTTCACTGAATAGTTTTAGTTTTTATATTGTAAATCATAATTTATATAAATATACATTTTATAATTTAATTGCTTTGGTTTGCATCATCTATATAATTGCTTTGGTTTGCATCATCTATATAATTGCTTTGGTTTGCATCATCTATATAATTGCTTTGGTTTGCATCATCTATATAATTGCTTTGGTTTGCATCATCTATATAATTGCTTTGGTTTGCATCATCTATATAATTGCTTTGGTTTGCATCATCTATATAATTGCTTTGGTTTGCATCATCTATATAATGTCTCGATTGCATCATCTATATAATGTCTCGATTGTCATAAAACTGTTTTAACTCCTTTTTTATAAAATTAGATTTTCTCATATTTTCATTATAACTATTTTTTTATTTACATTTTCTTATATATATATATTTTTTTACAATTTCCCTTACTTTATTTATTTTTTAGTTTTTATACATTTTCTTAAATGGAAAATAATAGATGATAAGAGATATTTTAATTAAAAAAAAAATCTTTGATATAAATTGCAAAATTTAATTAAACATAACACTGGAGATAATCTTTGTGTTTTTAGTTCTTTCAAACTGAGCAAACTTCTTTTGCTTTATTTTGTTCAACTTTAATAATCTCCATAATATTCAAGTAATCTCCATTATAATCAAATAATCTCCATATGGTTAATTTACCTACTAGTTGAGCTACTTGTGCAAAAATAAAACGCCGAGTTGAAAAATCTAGTTAAAAATGAATGCTTTCAATTTTAGAAAGGGCCTCCTAAAATTTAGGAACCATATTTTGTTTTGTAAAAGTTTTCGTATTTTTCGTTATTCTCGCTGTTTTTTAAATAAAATTAATACAGAAAAAGCACTTTTAAAAGATACAATAAAAAAGAATAAAACTATTAATTTCAATCTTTCAATCTTTATTAAATATAAAACTGGCAGATTGACCTCCCTAATAACCCAAAACTATTCCCTAAAACAATCTATTCTAAAATTACTGCCCTAAAACTTCCTGAATAGTGTTATAAACAAATCAGGGCTTGTTATAAACCAAAAACGTTATATATGTTACCAATGCTATTTTTAGCAAAAAGTAACATGATGGAACAGTGAATAAAGGTTTTATACTTGGCCCTATACTTTTTTAATTTACACTAATCATTTCCTTGAAATTATCACATCTAAGGCATTGTTCGCTGATGATACTACAATTTATTCCTGTTTTGATAAAAAACTAAAATTCTCTGATTGCTTAGAGGGGGTATTTAAGGTTGAAAAAGATTACAATTCTGCTACAACATGGTTCTCTTGCTGGCTGGTGAACTTTAACTCAGATAAAAATAAACTTTTTTAACCTAATTATTATCGCAATAACCTGGGCCTTCCTATATTTATGAACGGTAATGTAGTCGATTAGTCATTTACCTTTCGTCTTTTAGGTTAATTCTTACTTCCGATCTTTCTTGGAAACAATATATCAAATCCATTGCAAAATTAGCATCTGCTAAGGTTGTATCTCTTTATCGTGCTTGCCACAATCTTACTCCACATTCTATTCTTTATCTCTATAAATCACAAATCCGTTCTTTTATGGAATAATATTGCCATATCTGTAGTGGATCTTTGATTAATGCTTTTTCTCTTTTAGACATGGTGCAAAAACACATTGTAAACATAGTTGGACCTGCACTTGCAGCAAACCTCCAAACTATCGTAATGTTGCTTCTCTTTCTCTTTTCTATAAATAATATGATGGGCGCTGCTCTAAAGAGCTAGCGTCTCTTGTGTCATCTACTAAAATTCATTTTCGTGTTACTCGTCATTCATTAAGACTCACTCTTTTACTGTGACTGTTCCTTTGTGCTCTTACAATTCTTATTGGTCTAGTTTTTTTTCGCGAACAATAATTTTTTGGAATTCACTCTCTTCTTCTTTTTTTCCTGATTTAAATAACTTGCAACCTTGCTTAATAAACTTAATCTTTTATATAACTTGCAACCTTGCTTAATAAACTTAATCTTTTATATAACTTGCAACCTTGCTTAATAAACTTAATCTTTTATATAACTTGCAACCTTGCTTAATAAACTTAATCTTTTATATAACTTGCAACCTTGCTTAATAAACTTAATCTTTTATATAACTTGCAACCTTGCTTAATAAACTTAATCTTTTATATAACTTGCAACCTTGCTTAATAAACTTAATCTTTTATATAACTTGCAACCTTGCTTAATAAACTTAATCTTTTATATAACTTGCAACCTTGCTTAATAAACTTAATCTTTTATATAACTTGCAACCTTGCTTAATAAACTTAATCTTTTCTTTTCTAGTAACTTCCAACTCTAATAGTAGTTGCTTGCAACCTTGTTAAAAAAGAAAACGTGAAAAAACAAAACAAAAAAAAAATTCTGATAATTATTGGAAATGACAGCAAGATATTAAAAGCCCCTATAGATATTTTCCTAACTTTTAATTGAGAATCAAAGTGTTTCTTGGCATCCTAAAAAATTCAAAAATTGTAACAAATCCTTTAACTTTACAACGCATAAGCTGATTTAGCTAGCTATATTTTTAATGTTTTTATTACTTAATTTCTCTAGCTATTTATAATAAAATTGGTTAAGTAAATTAATTAAGTTTATTTGAGGTTAAAGGTGGAAATGGGTACCGATTTCCAAGTTATCGTTATACATCTTTATTAACATAAAATATTGTAAATTTTACAGAGATAATTGTTCTGTTTAACATGATCCTGAACATATATAAAAATCTTCAGTGTTTAACCAGAGACTTTTTTTCAGCTATTTCAACGCACAAATAAAATTTAAAAAGTAATATATATAAAGTCTTCTTCTTAAATTACATTTAAAACATTTCCTACAACATTTAAAACATTTTCTATAACATTCAAATTAGCAATTAAATAACAGTTTTTTCTAAAATTTATGTGGAGTAGATGAATCTATTCTGATGATCATTAACAATTTTTTTTTTCTTTTTAAATGTAGATAGAGTCACCCCCTCGAGTGGCATTATTAACGTAACAGGTTTATACAGATTAAAATCGTCGTTATGTTTGTACACATTTTTTACGAAAAAAAAAGTGTTTAAAAATTTTTTTTTTTAATACATCAATTTATTTTTATAGTCACTAGTTAACCTGATCAAAAACTTATTTTATCGTGTCAAAAACATATTTAATCGTGTCAAAACTTTTTTAATCGCGTCAAAAATTTATATTGATCTTACTTATTAAATTGTCTCATCTTATTAAAAATTTATATTGATCTTACTTATTAATCGTGTCAAAACTTTTTTAATTGTGTCAAAAACTTATATTTATCGTGTCAAAAACTTATTTAATCGCGTCAAATACTTATTTAATCATGTCAAAACCTTTTAATCGTGTCAAATATTTATATTTATCGTGTCAAAAACTTTTTAATCGTGTCAAAAACTTATTCAATGCTGCTAAAAACATTGCAAAGTTATTAAAAAAGAAACTACAAAGTTAATACTAAAGACTCTATTATTATTTTTTTGTTTTTAAACAATATTTTTATAGCTTTGGGTACAGAAGCTATGCATAAAGTTTATTTATCAAATGGATTTTAACTTACTAGTCATTGGTATAGATAGTATTAGTAAGGAATTTTTTAAAAAAAGTGACACTCTCATAATACCAACATATGAAAAATATAAAAAAATTGGTAGTATTATGTGTAACTGCTATGACAAAAAAAAAAACAATTTTCTAGTATTGTCCAGTGGAGTAACCTCAAACTCAGCATTACACTTTATCTATATATACACAAAAAAAGGGAATTGTTACTTTTATTTTTTATTTTTTTATTTTTATTTGAATTTATAAAATGATGATTGTACAAAACTTATAAATTAATTTTATTAATGTACAGACATCCTAGCAAATATTCTATAGCGGAATTTTAGTGGACCTATATAGACTTTTTGAGTGGACCAATAGTTTTGCTCATCGGTTCCTGAGAGGATCATTAGTGGTGGCTGGCCGATGACTAGCCACTAAAAACTGTCGGGAAATTATCAGTTTGCCATTTATTTTAGCTGCCACTGAAGGTTCATTAAGTTACAGATCAGCAAAACTCCAATGAACCGCTAATATAGGTCTACTGCAAATCCATTAAAACAATGTTTGCTGGGATGTATATATCAAATTAGTTATTAGATTAGAAATATGAACTGCCCCCCCCCCCCTCGACCTAAATCTTTTTAACTTATTTTAAAGAAATACACTATAAATATGTTAGAAGATTTTCTACAAACTGCTTTATTGTACAAAAATCTTAATCAAAAATGAATACTTATTCAATTTAGAATTGTGGACCATGTTTGTAGAAATTTCTAGAAATAACAATGTATTAAATAAAATTATTATTAAAACTGTTTATTACACAGAAATTTTTATTTATTTTGTTTATTTTTGTTTCTTTTTAAAATAGATAGTTATAATAAAAAATATATGTTTGTAGCTCGAATAAAAACTATAAAAAAATGTGTCAGGAGTTTAAATTACCTAGTAAATTATATTATACTGTTAATTAGAAAAAATAAATAAAAAAAGATTATTGACAATTATCATTAACCAAAAATGACAAAAATGCCCGGAACAAGAAGAAGACAAATGTCTTTCCAAGCCGGCATTTAGCCCTAAAAAGACGTCTTTTGAACGTTCAAAAGACATTCAGAACTTCTTTTGAACGTTTCAGAACCTCTCTTTGCTTCTGCCATTAACATAGCTGCAAATTTATGTGGATTGAATACTTATTAAACGGCGAAATAAAATGTAAAAAAAAGTTAAAACAAACAAAAATAAAAAGAGCATTGATAATTTGCTAAGCTAATGTTTCAATGAAAAAACGGGATTTATTGTTTAACCTGGTAACACACTAAAAAAACACTCACCCAATGCATTTGGTAAAAATATCGCTGCAGAGATCACTTTTTTCTATATAATTGTTTAACTTTTGCGTAAGTTCATCACCTGTAATTTTAAGAACTCCTTCCTTATGTTTGTAGCAAGCTTCTGTTTCATCATCGATATCAATAAAGTTTTCAGTGTCTAAAAAATAAATGAGTGTTGATAAAATATTTGTCATTTGTTAACTAATACTTACACATACACACATAAACACACAAAACCTGGTAACACACTAAAAAATCACGCGTTGCTTGAGTGATTACGTAGTTTTTAACCAATAAGAAAATCTCTTGTATGCTACAGTCCCTGGCCACAATTTTATGATAACCTCAGTTTTTCTACATATTTTGTTTTCAAAGTTATCTTAAAGTAATTTCAAGGTGAGTATATTATTATAAATACTGACATCTTTCGAATAAAATAGAAAAGAAAATTTCTTTATAATCATGACCAATGTAAAGTTAGGTGTGTTTTAAGTCAGCAATTTGAATTTTTGTCAATTTTTTAAAAAACGTGGTTGATCTGTCACATACATTTTTTTTATATTTTAACTTATTTTTATATTTTTTATATATTTTAATTTATTTTTATAATTTTTTATATTTTTATATATATATATATATTTTTGAGTGAAAAGTGCTTTATTATTTTTAATACATTTTATAAAGTTACTATAAATAGCAAGAATTAATATATAGTTTCATTTTATTAACATTTTTTGTGTAACAGGTTGTAATTAAAAATTTCAATAAAAAATAAACATGGGTAAGGGTAAGGACATGAGTCCAAGCAAAATTTCAGAAGTAAAAGCACTTTTACAACATTCAGAGCGTTTACAACGGTAAAGTGCAAAAATTTGTAAAGTTTCGCAACCTTTTGTCAATAAAATCAAACACAAATTGGAAAACGACATCACTCTTTTTCCAAAAAGAAAAGGACGGAGTGGTCAAAACGTAAAACCACTCCCAGGACAGACAGAATTATAAGAGATAGGGGAGAGCAGGGCTAAAAGTCATAAGGGTTAGTTGTCATCGTGTCACATGATAGAGCCGAAAATATTTATCCTCGAAAATATCACCGAAATATTTCACAACCAAAAATTTTAGAACCGAAAAGTATACTTTCATTGCAGGATCGAATTACAAAATCCTTCCTTGCGCCGAAAGTTTTTAAACCGAATTTTACAACCGAAAAAATTTGGATCGAATTACAAAATCCTTTCTTTTTTTAATCTATTTTTTTTTTTTTTTTCAGTTAGTCGTTTTACAATAAAATAAACAATTAATATTTCTTTAAAATATATATACATATATCTTATACTGCTGAGTTAGGTGAGCATGATGATGTCATACTCACCTAACGTCAAATAGCCTGCTGCTGGGGGCTTCAGTACATACATCGACTGACAAATAGCCTGACTCGCAGTGGAGTGCTGCTACATCGACTGAGGGTTTGGAATGGGTCAGCAACCTTTTCATTCATTATTCTTCGTTTTCCCTCATCGTTTTCTAAAAACGCTCACTTAATTGTAATTAATTAAGTTTAACTTTCGGTTGTAAACCATTTTAATGAAATTCGGTTCTAAAATCATTAATGACTTTCGATAGAAAATTCGATTGAAATTTTTTCGGTTCTAATTTTTTTCGTGAATATTTTCGGTTGTGTAATAAATTTCTCATATTCGGTTCTAAATTTAAATTAGAGATTCGGTTGAATCATAGGACGCCGTTGTCATAGTCGCTATTTCGGAATGTTATAGCGATTTTTATAGATTGATGCGATTTTTTTATATTATATAAATGGTGCTGAAAGATGACTGCTCAGTTGATTTCATGAAATTCGCGCGAATAGTTTTTCTACAAATCCAAAAAAAGTAAAAATTTCGTTGGTAAGTAACTTTTTAACTTTTTTGTTCAAATGTTCAATACAGTTACAATATGCAATATTTGTGTTTAATACATTAAAATGTTTATAGTTTTGGAAATTCTTTTATTGGTGTGCTAGTCATTTTTCAGATTCACGGCAAGGATAAAAAGTTATTTAGGTCAAACCTCCCTCTACCCCCTGTAGGGGAAAGTTGTCCTATTTTAAAGGGGCCAAGTTGTCATATAAAAAAAATTGCCTCCATACTTTCATATAGTTGTAAAAGTCTTAAATGAATGTTAATAATACATACAATGCTTATTATAAGTAATAAACATCAAAAAAATGAATTAGGCATAATATTTAAGATTAAAAATAAGCCTTAGTAAACATTAATAAATGATAGTGATAGTTATAGACATTAGACAGTTATAAAGTTTTGCTTACTTGGACTTTTATCCTAACATTTTTTTTTTTTGCTTTATCAGATTTTAAATCATGGTTCGCAATTATCGAAGGAAAACCAGTAGAGGTACCACTGCTAAATGCACAAATCTTGAAGCAGTGAAAGCTGTAAAGTTACATGGCAGAAGCATAGCCCAGGTGTCTCTAGATTTCAACATCAAATATAGAAGCCTACAACGCTATTTGTCAAAAGTCTCTACAGAAGATCTTCAAGAAAAATCAACAATACCTTCATTTCACACTGGCTACGTACAACCTAGGTTTGTAGATTGTTAATATGTTTAAGGATTATAATATTTGTTATTATAAGTGACTCCACAAAATAAGTATTTATACTGGTATATATTTTATATTATTTCAGGCAAGTGTTGACACAGGAGCTTCATCTTGAACTCTGTAGCTACTTGCAAAGAGCTTTAGATATTTACTTTGGCCTTACACCAAAAGATGTTAGGAAACTAGCATATCAATTAGCAGATGCTAATAAACTGGCTATGCCAAAATTAAGAATGGAAATTCATTGTGCTGGGAGAGATTGGTTTACGTCTTTCCTACAAAAAAATCCAACATTGTCTTTAAGAGCTCCAGAGGCCACAAGCATTGCACGTGCCATAAGTTTCAACAAACACAATGTTGAAATGTTTTTCAATAATCTTCAGGTGTGTCTTCAACGTCACCAATTCACACCAGCAGATATTTGGAACATGGACGAAACAGGGGTAACTACAGTTCAAAAGCCTGATAAAGTGACCTCAAGAAAGGTCCAAAAATCAAGTTAAGGCAATAACCTCAGCAGAAAGAGGTGCTTTAGTTACCTTGGCATGTGCTGCCTCTGCTATTGGTAACAGTATTCCATCTTTTTTCGTATTTCCGAGAGTCAATTTAAGAGACCACTTTTTAACTTCTGCACCACCTGGCAGTGATGGGGACGCAAATCCATCTGGTTGGATGAAGGAAGACACTTTTTGTAAATTTCTTACTCATTTTGTAAAGAATGCACGGCCTTTAAAGGAACATCCAGTTTTGCTACTGGTTGACAATCACTTTTCACACTTGTCATTGAATGGACTAGACTATGCGACAGCAAATGGAATTATTATGTTAATTTTTCTACCCCATTGCACCCACAAGTTGCAGCCACTACATAGAACAGTCTATGGTCCGTTTAAAAAGGCTGTAAATACAGCCATCAACAGTTGGATGGTCAGTTACCCTGGAAAGGGTATGACTATTTACAATATTCCAGAGATAGTGAAGTTTCCATTGAGCATGACACCAAATAACATACTGAGCGGATTTTCTTCCTGTGGCATCCACCCATTTAACCCGCAAAAATTTACAGATTTGGACTTTGCTCCAAGTTCAGTAACAGAAATGCCTATGCCAGTCAAAACCAATCCTCAATTAACAATGCCTCAAGCTTCAGAGGTTACAGTCTCACCAGAACAATCCACTTGTGCTTCAACTTCAAGTTTGACTTTGTCATCACAGGAGCCTTCAACATCTCAAGCCAAATCAATTTCTGAATGCTTTGAGCTTGCATCTCCAGATAAAATAAGGCCATTACCAAAGGCACCAGAAAGAAAGCCTTTCAAAAACACACGCAAAAAGAGAACTTCGTCTATATTGACTGGTTCCCTTTTCAAAAATTCTATGAGATCAGCACAGCTACTGCCAAATAAATGCAAAAGTTCTGCTAAGGGAAAGGGAAAAGGCAAAGCAACAAAAAAGCATACACAAGACTCATCATCATCATCAGAAGATGAAACCTACTGTATTATTTGCATGGATACTTGGGCTAATAGCAGAGATGCTGAAAAATGGATCAAATGCTGTGTGTGCTCAAGCTGGACACATGAAGAATGTACAGCGGGAGGGTCCAGCTACATTTGCCATAACTGTGACTCTGATGATGATTTTAAATGGTCATTTTCAAAGTGTTTTAGAGTATAAATTATAATATAATTTATATGTTATTTTTAATAATTTATAAATGATTAATATAATACTTGTTTTCTATTTGAAAATATTTTTTTTTACCTTTTAGAATATAATTATGACAACTTGCCCCTCTTATCATGACAACTTGCCCCGACGGTGGGGCAAGTTGTCATACCATGGAGCCTTCTTTAGAAATGGTGGCATGCTATACTCAAATGGCCTGAAGTTTTCCAAAGTTGTTTTTAAAATAACTATAATGATAAACTACCATACAAAATAGTTTTTATGAAAATTGACCAATTGGTTTTTGAAATATCTTAAAAAATATAAAAAGTATGATAACGTGCCCCGCACTTCCCTATATGTTTGGAAAATAGAAAAAAATCGTATGCCAGACCGAATAGCTAAAGTCATTTCGTTGAATGGAGGAATGACAAAATATTAATATTTGTTTATGACTTGGAATCAAATAGAGTAATTGTTTGTTAAAATGTGTGTTTATTGATTTTGAAATAATATTTATTATTAAGGAAACTTATTTTATCAATAAAATATAACTAATATTGGAATTGTACTTTTTTTATACTTTATACAAACCCTTGAAGTTAAAAGTACACAAAAATTATAGGTGATCATAATATTGTGGCCAGAGACTGTATATACATAATTTAATCAAAAACAGTTTAAACGAATGATTGCTGCAGGTTTGAAGATGTCTATTACAATTGTTCATAATATGATTTAATTCAAAATACACCTTCTTTTAAGTCAGCATTTATGAGTTATGGTAAAATTGCTGCGAGCGGTTGTGCTGTATTTTATCTGCCACAACAAGGTGACACTGTCAATTACAACAAGGTTACTGTGTCAACTACAACAAAGTGACTCATATCTCAAACTCTTATTGCCTTAACGCCACGATGAAAAGAGACTGTTCTAAATGTTCGAGAAACCAATGCAAAGTATTAAAACATGTTTTGTACAGTGATTTCTTTATTCATTTTAACTTTTGCAAATATTGCGCGGGGACAGAATAAAAAAATTTAACCCAAACTTCGTTGTTGTCGGTAGAAACATTTAGCACGTTTAGTTAATTCATGTTATTGACTCATGCAAAGCGATGAAGAAAAAATAAAAGTGTCTTATCTATTTATTGCATGCAATGTTTTTGTTTGATGTACCGATGTAAAGAGAAATTTTCTCCGTTTCTATTTTTATAATTTATATTAAACAAAACCAAAAACTAATACGATTTTCGAAGTGATGATTTTATGATGCAACTATTTTTGAAAAGTAATTTTAGGCAATTCTTATCCACCATCATCATCAACCAAACATTTTTGATCTGCATTATTAAATATTAAATTGCTCAAATAATTTATATTCTAACTTTTTCAAATAATTATCCATTATGGTAATATGTATATATATGTATGGTAATTTATAATAAAAGAACTTACCATCAATATAAGGGATCCAAGTTGAATTAACCCATCGACCAAATCCATTCCAGAGTAAGTCACAATTATACTGTGAGCCGCATGAATTTTTCCACCGTCTGAAATTGTTTTTGAGATCTAAACAAAAATATCTTTGAGTAGTTGATTTATAATAAGGGTTTTCAAATTTTTCTAGATTAAAAGTACAAAAACAACGTAAAACTAAAGTATTGTAGTTTTACGTGGTTTTTAATTGAAAAAAAAACCTTTAAATTTTACCAATAAAGGCGCTTTCTGGAGCTCCCTCTATTTTAAACGATATGTTTCCCCCTCGAATGGGCTCCCAAATCAACTTTTCGTTTTTTTCGTCCATCAATATTGTTTTTGCGTCTATATAATCCGCAAGTATAAGTTTATAAAATTAGTTCTCTAATTAAGTAAACAATTGAATAAAGAAAGTTTAAGACTAAGAGAAAAAAAAACTTTTTAACAAAAAATTGAGATGCATATTATTTTCAGACCTCTTTTAAGCCAATCTTGAGGTGGGTCTTTTAATGCTTCACAAAGAGACGACTCAAGAGCTATTTCTGCTTTATAGAAGCCGGGCTGTAGAGCAATAAACTTTGTTTCATAAACACCATTGTTCATGTCTGATACAAACGGTGTTAGTTGGTCTGCACCCCTTATAAATACTCTCCAAGTGTCTCCACCAATAACTTTATTACGACCTTCTGCTGTACGACTTTGGATAGCAATTTTACTAAACTCACCCGTTTTTTGAAAATGTAACCCTATCATATAAATTTATGTTGTAAAAGAATATATTAGACTTCATAAAAAAAAAATTACATTTTAGTTTAAAAACTTTATATTTTGACATTTAATGATTACAATAATAAAAGAATTTATTGTTGCACTATGGAAAAAAACTATGGCAACGAACATATAACCAAACTTATTTTTATTCTTATTTTTCAAGATTGCTTTATTTATCATAATTATTATTATTATTATTATTATTGTTAATTTATAATTGGGTTAACATTTACTATTATACAACTTTACTTACCGAGAGTATGACTCCATTTTGGACTAGTTCTTTGTTTTTCGTCTAAAACATTTTTACCAAAAATATTGTTGTGTCTGCAAGGTCTTATGATTGACTGCCAGTCCATTTGAGACCACCGATCGTGGCAAATGGTTTTTTGAAATGAGTCTATCCATTGGGAACCTTGTCCAGCAACCATACAGATAAATAAAAAAGGCAACAGTAAAATCATGTTACCTAAACTAAAATAAAACAGATTTTAGTAAATTTTAGCCTAAATAAAAAAAACCCTGATTATTACCTTTTTTTTTTTTAGCTTTTGTTTCATTTCCGAAAAAAGCACATTTCTTTTAAAATGTTTTAATTTATAAAATATATTGTTGTTTTAAACTTTTTTTCTAGTTGTCAAATTTCAGTTGATCAACCAAACACCGATTTTTTTAAAAACATTTATACAGAATACCCGCTGAGTTTAATTACACTTCAAGTATAGTTAGTGTTTTGTCTTACTTTTGTTGTACACTGTCAGTCATGGGTAATGTTACTTAAGAATTTTACGTGTGGAACACAATACTTAGCTGCCATGAATACTAAAATACTCCTGAAAAGATAATAATGCCAAGTTAAGTTAACTTATATTAAGTTAACTTATATTTAAAAATTAAAAGTCTAGTAAAGTTTTGATGATTAGAAATTAAATTTGCTACTTACGCTCATAACTCGTGCTCTTTCTCTTCCTCCGCACGATATATGGAAGTTCGACAAAATAAATAGTTATTAACGATAATTAAATCATGTCCCTGAACGTTCGAAAAATATTGGCTGCATTCTATGCTGCAAAGAATTTCTCATGAATAATTAATGAGTGAACGCAGTGGAACGCACTGAAACTTTAAATTTGCGGTGTGTATTACTTTGAAATTCTGTATAGAACAAAAGATTTATATAGTATCAGCCATTTGTTCTCTATATGTCTATATATATATATATATATATATATATATATATATATATATATATATATATATATATATATATATATATATATACATATATATATATATATATATATATATATATATATATATATATATATATATATATATATATATATATATATATATATATATATATATATATATATATATATATATATACGTACAAAATTTATATATATATATATATATATATATATATATATATACGTACAAAATTTATATATATATATATATATATTTATATATATATATATATATATATTTATGTATATGTAAATTTTTTATATATAAATATATATATAATATAAATTTATATGTTAGTGTATTCTCCAATTAGTGCTAATGTTAAAAAACAGAGCAGTAAATACTACAGAATGAGAGGCGAACAATAGAAGATAAAAGTTAGATAAGTGTTTTTAATAATTTTGTTTATATATATAACTTAAATTAGTAAAATGTATATATTGTATAAATGCACACATATATATTAGATAAATATATAAAGTGCTATATTAAAAAAACATTAGTTGTTATTGGTGCGAACAAACTAAAACGCTAAATCTCAGATAACAACTATTCATTTAACTTAAGCGTCATAACATCACATAAACATTGGAATACTAAGACCGTTTAATGAAGCTGAAAAAAAATGAACAATTTTTCTTATACTCCCTTAGGAAATAATAGTTATACAGATCATGAAATTAGCACTATTGCAAGATTACTCGGAAATGGCAGCTACTCCACAGACAATAACTTTTCCACGCCGCTAACAAACAGTAGTAACAATACACTTTACAACCATTATCTAAACAAAAGGTAAAGATATATTTGTATTGTTTGTAGTAAAACTCTTTTAAATCAAATTATTTTACATACAAATTGGCAACATTCGGGCTTTCAAATAGACGATATAACAACGCACATTTTGCAAAAAGATATTTAGAGTCAAAATTTAACTGTTGTAACTAAAACCCTGCCCGGCCCAAAAACCTAAAAGATGTCCAGGGTAAAAATGTTTAACTTTTTATATTTTAGTTGGGATAAACAAACTAATATAATTATTATACCAAGTTCACAAGCAATAAGATTATTTGTTGCTTAAATTAAAAAAAACAACAACACTGAATTATAAGACATAAAACAATAACATAACTATTTATTTGTGCATCGACTACATGAAATTGTGGTGTGATAGAACTGACAAGGTGCGCCGTCAATTTGATATCAACGGTTGTACTGATTGCATTTTAAACAATTTTAACAAGCGCCATGGGGTTAAACATAAAACGAAATGTTATATATATCTTTGTTAACACCGTTATCGCGCATGTGTTATACAAGTCTAGCGCAAATGTATCGACGATATTATGTTTCAGCAGTCATACTGAGCTTCACATTGTTAGTAACAGCCTCTGCAAACATAATTGTAAAAACTCTACAACTAATTCTATTAAGTTGTTCAGTTGCATTAAAAGTAGTTTAATCACATATTCTGTCACAAGTTCATTAACATCAGATAACCATACAGGCACGGTAAAAAAACCTAAATTTAGCCTTAACTAAATTTAGGTTTTTTGAATTGTGTCCAAAATAGTTTCAACGTTTTCTGAAAGAGTATAGTTTATTTATCACTATGTATATAGTCAAAAAACTCCTATTGAGTATTTATGACACTTTTTGTACTAATTCGGGCGTTTTTGCGCGTTTTTTGTTGTTGCGCTTTCTTGCAATCGACCCTGATCCGATTCAGAGTTGCATTGTTGAAGAAATAGTTGAGGCTTTTTATCAAACGCTCAAAATAAATTCCAATTTTTTTGTATGGCAGGATTTAGATACATGATTGATCAGTATGAAAAACTTTGGCGTGAAAGTAAGAGTTTAAATTCTTTAAACACTACCAATTTGTTTAAAAATTGTTCGTTAAATTATTTCTTTCAAAATTTCCCAATTCTGACAAGTCTTAACAACTTGTAATTGTTGGTATCTCCCTCATGTTCATTTCCATTCGAAGTTGTTCCTTTTTAATAATTACATGGTAAAATGATAACTTATTTATTTTATTTAAACTCCAGTTTAACATTTTTATGGAGTTTTTAGTGAAATAAAACGTTTAACTAACTGAAGACAGGTTTGTGCATATCTGATTACATATATGCACAAACTTGTCTTCATACTTAAACTCGTTTAAACTATTCTTTCAAAATATTATTCAGACTAAATGTTGCATGGTTTTTTAGCACCTTTTGTAGGTTTTGTTTGACCAATTGAGTTTTTAACTTTTTTACTGAAAACAAGATGACTATCTGTTGAATTTGGGAATTTGCAAAAACAAAAATTTTTTCACTGTATAACAAATTCTATTTCTTTAAGTACAGAAAATTAAGTTAAAATAATATTGTTGTTTTAAAATGCTGCAAAATCTGGAATTTGTCATTGATTTGGATATTTATTTTGTCGCCTAGGTTAACGAGGCCGTGGTCTAGGGTTCCTTAATTTCACTGATCCTGGGAGAAAGTCCGCAATACATTGCCTTTGCCCGTTACAATTTTTAAAACTGTTCTCGATTCAGTGATTTAGGTGAAAAATAAATGATTTGCACTTTTATCTTTTAAATTACGTTTTAATAATTTATAAGAATGTAATGATGTGAATTTTCACTTTCAGTGTTAATTTTTATTACCAATGTAATAAAACAAAATACCTTTTGTAATTTTCATTTCCTAGAAAAAGAAAGTAAATTTTTGAAAAAAACACGAGGAACAAAAAAAGGCGCGAAACGATTGCAAGAAAAGCGCAATTACAAAAAAGGCGCAAATTCAGAAAACTTTGAAATTATTTTGGACACAATTCAAAAAAACTAAGGCTAACCGTGCACAATTCAAAAAAACTAAGGCTAACCGCCAACATTGGGGAGCCAGGGGGCAAGCTAATACCTTTCGATACTAATTCCAATATTTACGATCACTTTTATGGTCTGCGTTTTATTTAAGTATTCAAAATCTTGTTTTGAATATTAAAAAACGTCAACCAACTCTATGGTAATTTTTTTTTGTTGGTCGACATGAATATGTTCTTTTTTAGTCCATTTAATCAAATATGATATTGATATATATAACAAATTTTTGACATGGTAATGTCAAATAAAGAATTGTATAATTCAATTCTATTTTCAATTTAACTAAAAAGATAACTCAATTTATAAAAAATAGATTTATATTAGAAAAAAATGCAATCTAATTATTAGTTAAGCTTTTGTATAAGAAAATAGAACTTTAAAAAATGAAAAATAGCTTTTAAATAACTATAAATTTATTAAACTTAGTTACTAAAGATTTGATATATTATATGATATTCAAATATGAAATTTGTTATCATTTTAATCAAAATGTACTGTGTTTGTGCAAGTCTTGTCTAATGTCTATTGTGTGCAAGTCTTGTCTATTGTCTAGACTTTCAAAAACTTTAAAAACACTTAGTTTTAAAGCTTTAACACTAAGTGTTTCTTTAAAGAAATTGTCTAAATCTAGCAAAATTGTTAAAACACGAAGAAGAGAATCTTAGCTTTTAATGAAGCACTTCCAAGTTCTATCAAGTATTGAGTATTAATTAACTGGCATAATATCTGATTCATTTCGAAAGCATGATAAACATTTTTTAGGACTATTATCAGTATGTGAATCACATACTTATAATAGTCCTAAAAAATGTTTATCATGCTTTCGAAATATCACATAATGTGATAGAGCGTTGCTGCACATTGCTAATAGCAAATTTTGACACTAATTTTTAGCTGAAACAGAAAATGCCTCACTTCCCCCGTTGTCACCACCACACTATAATACACTCTAAATAGTAAACTTGTGTCACTGCTCCTTAAGTCTAAAATCAAGTTGGCAAACAGGAAGCATACAGTTGATCTATTTACTGATTTTTTTCAGTTTCAAACCCTTTTTCTGCCTACACCCTTAAATATTGAAACCAACCCCTTTTCTGCCTACACCCTTAATAGTGGGCAGAAAATTGACATTAAAGCTCTTGTAGTTTTTTTTTTTCTTTTTTGATTAAAGCCAGCCAACCCTAGACTACCGATCTTACAGATCCTACAAGAATCCTATAGGATGAGTTGCACAAGTCTCTGCAGGACCTACAAGAATCTTTTTAACAGATCTTGAAGGATTTGAAGGAATTCTTATAGGATAAGGTAAGATCTACAAGAATATTTTTAAAGATCTTGCAGGAATAACATAGAACCCTTATAGGATGTAGGCTAACTTTAGATTCGTATAGAAACCGCAATATTTAGTATTATTATAGTTAATGTCACTTATTATAATAATGTAAATCATTCATATTGTAGATATATCATAAATATTAAACGATATATAAGTAGATATATCTATAGTGTACTGTCGCACAAACGTTAATATTAATCATTTAATATCCAGAATAATTTTTATTTTTATTAAACAGTATGTTGATATTGCAATTTTTAATCTTGATATTTTAAATACAATTTAACTTGTGGGTTTTTAAAAAACTAAAAAATACTGATTTTTAAAAGAAATTTAAATGACTGAGGTGATCATATATTTTTTCATTATCCGTAGTTGTCATTATCAATTAGAAACTAATTAAACTAATTTTTATTTTAACGAGGCCGCAGATTTCCCTGGGACGCCAAATAGAAAGAAGGTACCTAAGAAAAAGGGTTTAACCAAATTCTCTTAATTTTACGCAAATTTTAACATAAAAATTGAGCAAGATATATATTTGCATATAAAAACGGCTTTCAAAAGCAACAAACTTTGTCAAGGTTGAAAACGTTTTAGTAAGAAGTACAGAAAGTAATTTTTTTGATTTTCATGTGCATAAAGGGTTGTTTTTTCAATAATTTGGTGAACTTGGCAAAAATATAACGTTTTTCATATAAAACAATTAGTAACAAAAATATAAAAGCTAAAAAATCCAACTTAAAATTTTTTTTTCATCTATGTTCACCAAAAATCTGATAAAATAGACATTCGTTTATAAGTATGTAAAATTTCAACCATAAAGCATGTAGCTTAAAATATCTAATCTTGATTGGCCCAAGACAGGTTTTCCTTAAAATACGCAAAAAACAGAAAAGTGATCCCAAATCATTAGCAATATTTTTACACCTTTTATTTTTATTCCGTTTAATCAGAATATTAATTTAACAAGGAAAGATAGATATTTCATTTTTTTATTATTAGAACATAAAAGCGTTTATAGAAAAAAAAAAAAAAAACATTACTTTAAAGTTATTGAATTTTAATACTTTATATACCGAAATTTTTATATGCGGAAATTGTTTTTGCTAAACTCGTGACGTAATGCCCAATTTTACATTTCGTGAAACCATAGTCATAGTATTTAACTAGTCTGGAAACGCGGGCCGTTTTCTTAAAACACTTAAGTTCCTCTCGATACTAGTGCTCAGCCTACTTTAGAGTGCATCAAATTGTAAACATTGTATTTCGCTATAGATAAGTTACATATATTCTGGGATAAATATTGAAATGGCATGAACAAATTGTGATTTTTTTGGTTATTCAGTTTCAAGTTAATATTTTGGATTGCATTTATATTTCGTATTCCGAATAAAAATGATGAATATAGCATAAAATAAAGACATCAACTGTTGGTAAATGTAGTTATGTGACAGAGTTTGTATTGGTATAAATATGCTTATTCAACCATATAGCTTATATCATATAAGCATTTAAGTTATATGCACTATATGAAAATATGTTATAGATGCAAATATTTTATCAACTGTATAACTTGATGGATGT